TAATTTGTTGAGCTTTTAATCAAATAATTTTCATACTCTGAGTTATTAGTGGCACCTTCAAATACTGCTTACTCCTATTTAAACTTAATGTGTTAATTGACAATGGGGATTGTCGAATATGACTTGGAATAAACATTTATATAAAAATGTTTTCTTATCCAGATACTAAGTGTTAAAATTCTAATACATTTTTTTCTGCTTGGAATCTCATAGGAAATATCAGGTTCATGACAACATTGGTTCTATTGTATCAGCTCATTCCTTTTAGTCATTGGCTTAAGGACCTCAGTTTTCAGATGCTATGGTTTTATTTCATCAGGTGTTTGGCAGCTTTCTGAAATTTCCTCCTTGCCCTTCAGACTTTTCTACAAGTACAGAGGGTACAGTCACACATTCTGTGACCCACCCTGCTGGTGACATTAAGACCTGGCAATGTAAGACTGTGATGAGGAGGAAAGGCACAGGGTTGACTGCCCAATGCAAATACACTGTTTCTCACCTTGCCAGCAATGCAGTTGTGGCAACAGCTTTTCAGCCTTGGGCCACCCCACCCTAGTCATGGGTCAAGAGACTTTGCCTAAAGTAGGAAACAGCCTGACTCAACAGTGAAGTGTGGCATAAGGACTGACAATTCTGAATTGGTTTATTTATACCGGGCCACCCTAAATCCTCAGCAACTTGGGTGCCAACTCAGATTTTCCCATGACTGTGACAATCACTTTGACCTTTATTGTGCAGGGTCCTCAGCTCTGCAGGATCTCGTCTACATGTGAATTCAGTATTTACTGCTGGAGATGCAGTGATTGGGCATCTCTGGCTTTGGAACTATGCTCACAATCAGCAACCAGGAGTCGGGCTGCAGAATAAGCTGCGGTCAATGTGAGGACCCAAGGAAGCTGCTTCTGTAACCAGCTGTGTCACTCCCTACACACGGAGGCCTGGGCCCACAGAGGAGGTTCTGGATGTACTCCAAGGCCCAACCAATGCCTTAGGATCTGCAAAGGTGAAGGACAAGGGAATGAAAAGGAAAAGAGCCATGACTTGCACTGGAGGGATTAGGTCTGTCAAGCAACCTTGAATTCAGGGTAGAAATCCAGTTAGTCAGGACGGGAAGGAGAGAAGTGAATGACTGCTTCTTTCACTGACCCCTCCACCCACCCTGAGAGGGAAGAGTCTAACTACACTTCATACAACCTGTGTTCCCAAAGGAGGCAAAATGACCTAGGAGTTGCTCAGGCCCAGAAAAGGGCTGAGTTAAATGAGGACCCCACCTCCATCCCTAACTTAAAAGCATCGATATTCATCTACAGCTTCTGAGTGTGAGGAGCAACAGAGAGCTGAGGCATCACACCTGAACTGGCTTCTGAGCTGGGCCTCCTGGACTCCCCCTTCCTGCTTTCCTAGCTTACGGCCCCACTCCCCTAACTTGTCCCAGTCCTGGCCATGCTTTCATCCTCCTGGCCCAGGCGCCTCCATACCCACACCTGCCATTAACTGCTAACACATCTCTTGCTGTTCAGGGTGCTTCTCTCGATTTTCATTGCCTGGATGGGAACGACTGCACGTAAAAACAAGACCCAGCATCCTTCTTTCTCTGTTTAAAAATCTATTTTCTACAAGTTGCAAGGGTTCTAAGAATTGGTGTGTGGGTGGTTATAGCTCACGTTTGCCCTTTCCCCCATCCCACTGTGCAGATTAAATGCGCGCAGGCAACAATAGTTCTAGTAGCTAGAACCGGTGCAGTAGCTGTGTGAGGCATTCAGTGTCTGCATGTATTACTTCAGGGATTTTCATCTTTATTTTTGAATAAGGACTCTGAGACCCAGACAGGCTAGGTATGTTGATTAAGATCACATTTTATAGAGGACAGGGTGGGATTCAAAGCCACATGGCTGACTCCACAGCAGTGGCACTGGAAAGGACAAGGCAAGGGGAGGTGGTGGAGTAATCCACCTGGGTGAAAGTGGAAATTTAAAATAATGAAACCAACTTAAATTATCATCCCATGTATAAGCAATTTTCAATAAAGCAGTGATGAAATATTCTTCCTTACTAGAGTGGACCCCTCCCATCACCTTATTAGGCTGGATGCTGGCATGACTGTATAGGGTGCCTGCCCATGGAACGATCATGGTACAACTTAGGGGAGCTTGACTGCAACACTGCGGATGGCTGAGCAAAGGTATGGAAAGAACTTGGGGCTTTAAAAGTATTGTGGTAAAATATACAAAAAATTTACCATTTTAACCATTCAATTCAGTGGCATTAAGTACATTCACAAGGTTGTGCAACCATCACCACTATCCATTCCAGAACTTTTTCATCATCCCCAAAAGAAACTCGGCACCCATTGAACATGATCCTTTATTCTTCCCTCCCCCAGGCCCTGCTCCCCTCTATTCTTTCTGTCTCTGTGAATTTGTCTATTTTAGGTACACACAGTAATTGTCCTTTTGTGTCTCCTTTTTTCACTTAGCATGTTTTCAAGGTTGTATCTATGTTGTAGCGTGTACCAGACTTTTATTCCTTTTTAAGTTGCAATAATATTTCACTGTATGTAGAACCTGGGTTTATAATGACACCATGTGTTAGGGGACCTCCTGTTAAGGTGGATAAGTTTACCCTAGGGTGTAGGTCATGTGCATGGGGTCTTCTGTTTCTTGCAGCTGAAAGAATCCTAACTGACACATAAGGCACAACTCAGATTCTCCTGCGAAGCTCCAGGGTGGGCAACAGGCCGAGCCTCAGAATGGAAGTTCTCCAGCGCGTGGCGCAGTTCTCCAGCATTTCCCCCTGGGTGAGTGTGCAAATCTAAATCTATGTATGTGTACACATGTATATGCACACAAACACATGACTAAGCCCCCACCTTCACCTCTTTTCATCCTCAGATTAGCTATTTTGATAATCCCTTGTTACAACTGTTAAGTTCAACACACAGTTATTCGGTACTTAACATTTTTCACGATAAAAAAAAAATATTGAACTCCAAATCAAGTGAGACATTGTGCCCGGAGCTCTACAGAGAAGTACAGATGGATGCCTCTTTCAAAACACTTTTCCACAATCTTCAATCTTCAGAGTTAGTAACAATCAAGTTTAGTCAAGGGTAAAGAATAAAAACATTTATTTAAGAAATACCATCCAGCATCAATTGCTCTGAGTTTGGCAGGCATGAAGAGTGGATGATTAATGTTTTGTTGGTGTATGAAATTTGAAATACAGGAAGCAGTATGGCAAAAAAAAAAAAAAAAATACTTAATATTAAAATTGAAAAAGAAAAGTTACTAAGCTACTAGGATAGAAAGAGACTTGAGGTTAAGAAAACGTCACCATGCAATGAAAACAATCTCCTCTTTAATAAGTACTAGCAGAGAAGGAGGCTAGACATACTTACATGATTATGGGGGAATGTTTCTCATGGAACATTTTGGTTCCTGGCTCTGAAGAGGTGGACTGTAGAAAGATGTAAGCAGACCCCAGGACTAGCAGGAGATATGGAGAAGAGGGATAAGGAGAAAGAAAAATCAAGCAGAATGTCTCTACTCAAAGGTCCCTATAAAAAATATGTTTTAAAAAATCTGAGTAGGCATATATTATATTTTTTTCTATGACTATAAAAGTATAATGGGCATCATGGGAAATGCTGTAAACACATAAGAATACCCTTTCATTGTAAACATATATAAAGCCACCTGAAACTATATTATATTTCACATTACAAAGTTGTTTTGCTGCTCCCCTTTCTGGTTGCTAGTTGTTCACATTATGGGAGAGAACAAAGGCCTTTACAAACCTATCAATTCAGTCCTTTTATTTCACAGATAAAGAGGGTAAGCAGCTTGTCCGCAGTTACATGCATCCTCAGTGGCAGAGATTGGACTAGAACCGGGTCTCCTGATTTTCTATCAAGTGATTTTTGCATTATAACAGACATAATTCATACCACACTCCATCCTGGTCTGTGCTTGATGATTCTCTGTGAACCTCAGCTAGGGAAGAAGAGTTGTGAAAGAATAGGTCTGTTTGGGGCTTCCCTGGGTTGCTATGAGTGTGGGATACTAGAAGAGGAAGTGATAAAACACATCTCCTACTTCTTCTATTCATCCCAGTTCTAAATATTGCAAGAGAGAGAAAGAGAGCGAGAGAGAGTGAGAGAGAAAGAAGAAGAAGAAGAAGAGGAGGAGGAGGAGGAGGAGGGAGAGGAGGAGGGAAGAGGAGGAAGAGGAGGAGGAGGAAGAGGAGGAGGGAAGAGGAGGAAGAGGAGGAGGAGAAGAGAGAAAAGAGAGAGACTATTCTAAACACCTAACAGAAATATTTCCTGGATAGAACATTGTACATGAGAGAAATTTTTAAAACCATAGAAAAGTAATTGATTTTACAGAACATCTGGCCTAAGACACACAATCATACACCTTTCAGAAGCTCTGCAAATAAAGCCCTGGTTACAGATGACCAACATAGAGAGCTTCAGGCTCCAGGGAACATCTCACCCTGCCCCGTGGAGTCTCTAACCCCCACACTATCAATTGAGCTGCTAATCAGTGGTGGAACTTGCCTCCAAATATGCAAATTCCAGGAGAAGGAAAAATACATTTGACTGGATTCTTTTGAAAAGCCCCACCATTCTCACGTCTATTTCTGATTTCATATTCATCAGTACCCAACATTCCACATATTCTATTCTGGGTAACCAGGTCCCTGGGTGACAATATGGGGGATGCTTTATCACAACATTCATGAGCTGTGTCTCAGGAGGAAGGGTGGTCAGATCTCTTGGGGTCATTCTTCTGTGCGTCCTTTGAGAACAAAATTCAGTGACAATGTTATTTATTATTATTATTATTATTTTTAATCCTCACCTGAGCATACGTTTTTATTGATTTCAGAGAGAGAGGGAGAGGGAGAGGAAGAGGGAAACATTGATGTGAGAGAGAAACATCAATCAGTTGCCTCCCATATGTGCCCTGACTGTGCCTTTTGTTGTACGGGATGATGCTCCAACTACCTGACCCACCTGGACAGTGCAAAAGTGTTATTGTTTTTAAAGTGTCTATCAAACAGTTTTTGTTCAAGGTTCAACACAGGAGTATGAATTGAGAATAGCCTGTGTCATATTCATGAACTAGGAAAGTTGTGACAGCAAAGTTCTTGAAACTGCCATTCTCAAGTTTACTGAAACATCAAAAAGTACCACATTCTTTGTCTGGCAGACATTTATCTTCCTTGTGCTCCATAGCTTCCTATAAGCATAGGATCGCTTCTATTTAAACTTTTCCTGGAAATTGCTTTCTCAAGTGAAGAGAAATCATTTGTTTTTAAGACATGAGCCAGCCATGTATTCTCTGTTCCATCTCAGGCAATACATTGCCTTTGTGCCATTTTTCTTGTCTCTTTCCATATCGTTTTCTGTGTTTTATACACAGACTCCTGAAAAATTCTTTCTACTTGTGTAGGAAAGCCACGACTTTCTTCCTCCAGGGCATTGATGGTTCTCAGAGCAAACGGAGTCCTTCCCCGGGGCAGGGGATTGTTCAGAGGCCGCATGGGAATAACAGAGTTGTATTTGTGCTGCCTGTTAACGGAGTTCATTAGGGACGTATAGAACTGGAACTTACACCACGTATCTCTTAAGAAGTTTTCAGTCAACAATAAGATTGTCCACGCAGACCCATTTACAGCATCGTCTAAATTCTGTAAATGCTGTCTGCCACATGGCATCTCGGCGAAGATTATTCCAGGTTTGATGCCAAAGTCATTCTGGAGCAGATCCTGGACCCTGAGAGCTTCACCTGTGTCATCTTCTGCGTGCAATATCACAAATTTGAAGAACAACTCTTCTTCTGCTTCCTCGTCAGGCTCCCCGTCCACGCCCTCAGCTCCCTCCTGCTCTCCTGCTGGCCTCTCAGTTGTGTTGCTGTGCTTAGCAACATCACACAGAGAGACTTCAGATTTCTTGGATTCTGACTCATGATGTCTTTGACTTGTGTCCACACTGTGGCTTTTAGCCAAAGAGAGAGAGAGAGAGCAGCGATCTATTTTAGACTTCCCGATACCCATTATGAATATCCAAGTCAGAAGAGAAAGGCTTTATTTCTCAGCTTTTCTTTTCATTCTAAAAGAAGAAATAACAGAGAAGAACATTGTAAATTTAATCAAAACATTCAAAATAGAAGCTTGCATTTAACCTGAAAAGCTCAAAAAGATGACGATATATGGTCCTAAGAAAGAAATGCCAAGCAGATCATTGGGAGACAAAAATCACCTGTCTTTTGTGAGCTTCTCAAGGGCTACTACAGGGAGTCAGGTGTAAGTTAAACCAAGGGTCCAAGTGACTATAAGACATTTGGAAAATTTAAATGTTATTTTATTAGCATATCAACCTCCAGATTAAAATGAATCACTTTGGTATTGTAGTGAGAGGTATCATACCACTCTATCCATCTGGAGTTTAAATCCAACTTCCCCATTATCAAATTATTATATAAAAATCTAAACAAACTGAATATTCAAATATTAAATGCAAGATTTATTTTTGTACCAAACACAAATACTAAACAGAATACAAATATCCTAACGCTGGCCAGCAGGCAGCTCTATTGACTCAACACAAAAAGACTGCAAATGTCAAATCTCACTGGTTTGCAGCTTTTTTGTTTGTCTGAGGTCAGGCATTATTGCTGTAGTGAGGATGGTGGAGAAATTATAAGAAGGGTTGTGAAAAATAGGGAATATTCTTTTCCAGCTAAACCTGGGAATACTGACTAAAACATATTGATTCACTTAGGGAAAAACTAGCATCTCGGTTTGGAAGTGAGATCTAGAAACACACACTGCAATTTTCTCCATTGAAGTCAACAAAGAATCATTATTGCCTAAACCCATTATTTTATTTTTAAAATTCCAAGTTCAGAGTGGAAGAATTAGATCAGCCACGAAAGAAAGGTATTCCGTGTGAATCTAATTGAAATAAGTGTTCAGATAATGTTGTTAATGTAACTCCAAAATAGGCAGTTACAAGGGGGATTCTTTTATAAAAGACAGAAAATTTAAAATACATAAATATAGACTCCATATTTTCAAATACGGGCCCACACTGTTTATTCTCCAGAGCACTTTTATTTATTGTTCATGGGCAAAGACCAGAGTTCAGTAAGAAACCAGAATCACATGATGACATAAGTAACACAGTTTCATATGCCTAAATAATTCAGGTTTAGAAGAAACCATTCAGCAAAAATGTGAAACATTGTTATGGGAAGAAAAGATAAGAAAAAAACACAGAGCCCAGCTGGTGTGGCTCAGTGGTTGAGTGTCGACCTTTGTTACTGGTTTCATTCCAGATCAGGGCACATGCCCGGGCTGGGGCTCAATCTCCAGTAGGGGTCATGCAGGAGGCAGCCAGTTGATGTTGATGCTTCTCTTTCTCATTAATGTTCCTCTCTCTCTCTCTCTCTCTCTCTCTCTCTCTCTCTTTCTATTTCTCTCTCTCTCCCCCTCTCTCTCAAAAAATCAATAAAAATTTTTTAAAAAAGGAAAAGAAATAACACAGAGAACTTCCTTCTGATATACATGAAGAGTGACAGGGTTTGCTGCTGCCTCTGAATAGAGAAGGAATTGCCGACTACTACATGTCATTTATTACATCTGTACTTCATGTTCTGACTCCATAGTAAATTATGCTAACTAAACTGCTACATACATATATACACACATATATTCCTAATAATACAATCAAATTAATCTGAACTCTCCTCACTGGTTAGGATTAATTGCTGACTTTGTTGCTGCATTATGAAAAAAAGGTTTTACTATGCAAAGTTGAAGAAGCTTCCCCTGCAGAATAAAATAATGGTTAAATATCTATTTACTGTGCCAATTAAAATGATCTTTGCTTCTTCATTGAGAGGTTTGTTAAAGCACCTTAACCTCAGTGTCTTGATCACTAACTGCTGCAGATAAGTGCATGTGAAGTAATACAAGACAGTCATAAAAATGTCAAAAATTTCTAAAGTAAAATGCTGTGTCAAGCCAGATCACAAACTCTTTTCAACTAAAAAAATTTTTTAAAGAATTACAACTTTGTGTCTTATCTTTCTTAAATGCCAGTCAGCAAAAAGAGCAAAACACTCCAGAAATCTATGGTGTGCTATTTAACTTCCAAGCACTCCTACCCACCCCTGCCCTAAGTAGACCAGAGAGAAAAAGTTAATGACAGTGTCTTAAACACGTCACTCTGATCTTCTAACTTGGAGGGAGAGAGTGAGGAGGAAGCCACGGTGTGAGGGAGCCCTGCCTTTCCCACTACCAGTGATTCACAGACGGGGAGATGGTCAGATTCTGTCACTGGGATTCCCAAGGTTGGAAGAAAAGAGAGGGGCTGAGTGTGCCTACTCTGAGCCAATAATGCCATCAATAAGGAGGGCTTTACTAGAACTGAAGGAGGGCATGGATGTCGAAGGAAATGTGGGGAGGGAAGAAGGCTTGCCACAAGAATCCTAGAAGCTCCCTTTATTAATTAATTAATTTATTAATTAATTTATTTTTATCCTCACCTGAGGACATTTTTCCATTTTTTGTTCAGATAGAGTGGGAGGGAGAGAGAGAGAGAAACATCGACGTGAAAGGGACACATCGAGTGGCTGCCTCCCGCACGACCCAACCAGGGACGAGGACAAACTGCAACAGAGGTACGTGCCCTTAGCGGGAACCGAACCCGGGTCTCTGTGGACCGCAGACCGACGCTCTAACTGCTGAGCCAAACTGGCCAGGGTCTGGCAAGCTCCCTTTAAAGTTCTCTTCGCCCATCAGGAATGGTCAGCACCAGGGCTAAACGTTTGGGTTCCATCTCCTTCCCCTCAGCTAAATGGGAGGAGAGTGAAGGCAGCCGCTGGGGAGAGGTACATGAGATGGCTGTTCACGGGAATAAAACACATGTGTATTCACTTTCCAATTTACTTTTCCAGAAAAGATGGTTGAAACACCTAATGACTTTGAAAACATTTATATTGAAAAGTTTCACCTCCACCCATATCCATCCTGTTACCCCCATGGCCTCCCACTGGTGATCAATTTTATGAGTTTCTCCTATATATTCTGTTTCTTTATGAATATATATTCTTTCGTCTCTTTCCTTGTTTTCAAAAAAATATCGTGTGTGTGTGTGTGTGTTCATTTATACACACACACACACTGTCAAATACCAATATATGGACAGATTGCTTTTCCCATTAATACTATGACCTCATAGCTTTCCACATCAGCACATAGAAAACTTCCTCACTCTTATTTATGACATAACCTTCCACCATGTGATTGTACTACAGCTGTCCCTGTTCCTGGATATGGGAGTTGTTTCCAGTTTACTACTATTATGAACAATGTTGCAATGAATAACTTTGGACAAAAGTCATTTCATGTGTGTGCAAGTTCATCTGTAGAATAATTCTATCAAATGGAGTTTCTATATCAAAGGACAAATGCATTTGTGATAATGATAGATTTGGCCAAATTGCTCTCTGTAAGATTGAACATTTTTTCATTTATTTATTTATTTTTATTTATTGTTTTTATCTATTTATTTTTATCTTCATCCGAGGACATTTTTGCATCTATCTTCAGATAGAGCGGGAGGGAGAGAGGGAGGAAGAGAGAGAGAAACATCGATGTGAGAGAGACACATCGACCGGTTGCCACCTGGGGGCTGAGTTGCCACCGCAACTGAGGCACGTGCCCTTAGCGGGAACCAAACCCAGGACTCTCTGGTCCATGGGCTGACGCTCCAACCACTGAGCCAAACCAGCTTGGGCATTTTTTCGTTTTTTAAATGTTTAACTTGACACATTGACAACCCCATCTCCCTTCCCTTGCCTCTGCCAAGATCTAAGACAATGGAAGCTACCAATTACCATTGACCACAGCCCAACACAGCTAATCACATCCCCTTAGGCAAGAGAAATGTGGAAAAATATAAGCCATCTAGACTGACAAACCTCAGAAGAGGCGGTGGGGGGGAGGGAAGAGATAAACCACAGAACTTACATGCATGTACGCATAACCAATGGGCATAAACAACAAAGTTGGGGACAGAGCGGGGAGGGCGTGTTGGGGAGAAGGGTGTCAATGGAGGAAAAAGGAGAAACATCTGTAACAAAAATAAATTAATAAAAATAATTTTAAAAAAGAAAAGAAAAATATAATCCATCAGAATGAAGCCCTGAAACTGAGGTTCTGAAGGGAAGATCAAAACAGGTCTGAGATCAGAAGGAATGAGGGTCCAGAATGTATCCACTTTATATGTAGGCAAAAGAAGATCTAATAGAATCCCCTGTATTAAACAGGAGTAAGATGGAAAGAACAGCTTGGCAAATATGCAAAAATATTACAAGAAATAAAAGAGAATATAAAGAATCATAACATGCAAAAGACAAATAAAAAATTCCAAATTCATTAAGACTCTGAAATCAGATGGTCTGAATATAAATCCCAGCCCTGCTACAAAAACAAACAAACAAAAAAACCCACAAAACTGGGAAATTTTGTACAAGATACTGAAAATCTTTGTGCTTTGACCTTAACATGTGTAAAATGGTAATAATTATAGTGCCTACATTTAGGGTTTCTAGTTTATAGTTATAGTACCTATGAAGATCAAAATGGCTTAGAACAGTGCCCCCCAAATTTTAGCAGCTATTACTGTTATTAAATATGTAACAAAGAAACTAAAGAAAAATTTACACAACAAATGGTCAAAGTGGAGTCCATGGACAGGTGCCAGTCTCTGAACGTTTTGGTGTCAGTCTGTGACGAGACAACGAGATTGTGCCAGGATGTCAATCAACTACATTAGCTAAGTCTGCTGTTTAGTTCAGCTGACTTTTTTTTCATAGTAAGACATTCTCAGTGAAGACAGCAGCATGGTCTACATTGGGTGCGGGCTTCTTATATTACAGACAAGCACTGCGAGTAATACTGCTCTAAAAGACATGAAAGAGAATATGTAACAATAAAACAAACATATTAAAGATGAGCTAACAGAATTAGATGAAAAGGGAGACTGTAGACTATTAGGAAAAAATAGAAAGAGTAAAGAGTGAAATAAATATGAAA